ATTGTTTGTTGGAAATAAAATACATTATTTACTATTGGGTCAGTGAATCGAAACCAAAAATTGTTAGAACTATAAAAAAAACTTTATTACTTATAAACACAGGTTATTAGATGATTTACGTATGAACATTTTATTTTACAATGGCGGACAAATTGCAAACTTAACAACGCTGACAGTTGCCGTACTTCACGATGGTATAGTAACGTACCTAGTTATACATGTATACACATATTTTTAAACGATCTCTTATACTACTTATATTGGCTCACGATCTTCGCGATTATTTCATCACTACAACACCTCCCCTCGAAGTCGTGAGCAATAAAACTCTGGACACTTACATACCCATCATTCCTAAATTGCGCAAACATTCATGATGTTTTGGTCCACTCAAACCTTTGGTCAAAACATCTGCTGGCATTCTTTCTGTACATAAATATCTGAGTTCAATAAGACCTTCTTCACACATATCTCGTACAAAGTGGTGCCTAACATCAATATGTTTTGTTCGTGACCGATAACTTCTATTTCGAATTAATTTAATCGCACCCTGATTGTCATTAAATAATGTCACACACTCGCATTCAATACCTATATTATTAAAAATGTTTGATAAATACAAAGCCTCCCTTGTAGCTTCAGATATAGCTACATATTCGGCTTCTGTACTTGAAAGTGCCACCACTCGTTGCTTTCGTGCCTCCCAACTAATAGGAGCACCTGCAAAAATAAAAGCAAAACCAGAATATGACTTTCGATCTACACTATTCGCTGCCCAATCGGCATCCACAACACTAAACAATGACAAACCTGTCCTCTCATACACTAAACCGTAGTTAGGAGTGCCTTTCAAATATCGCAATACACATTTTGCTGCCTTCCAGTGCTCAACATTATAATTAGTATTAAATTGGCTTAAGTAGTTAACGCTGTAAGTGATATCAGGCCTAGTTGATACTGCTAAAAACATCAAAGCACCTACCAAGCTTTGACACGGATACTGCTTCATTACACTCTCATTCACACTCTCAGGCTTCATTAATTTTACATTAACATCGATAGGTGTTAATGCTGGTTTGCATTCACACATGCCAAAGCGTTCCAACAGTCTTTCAATATACACACTCTGTTCCATATACACTCTATCCTCATTATCACGTGAAAACTGTATACCTAAACAATCAGAAATTTTTCCCATATCTTTCATTTCAAATTTATTTGACAGTTTATTTTTAACATTATTTAACCATACATTATCATTTGTAGCTAAAATAAGATCGTCGACATATATAGCAATCAACATTATGTGCTCATTCTTCCGCGCTACAAAAACACATTGATCTTGAGGTAATGCCTTAAAGCCTATACTTAACAACATTCGCACTAATTCTTTATGCCACTGTAGCCCTGACTGACGTAAACCATACAATGACTTCTTCAATAAACAAACACAATCATCACATTCGTTCATCATCTTACGCCAACGCTTAGCCGTCTCAGTTATTTTAGTGTCTAGAATAACACTTTCAGAAGAACCAATCCTTTTGTTTGAGAGTATTTTGTCTAAAACTGCGCTTAATTGTTCTGGTAAATTCATATAAACTTCTTCTTCAAGTCGACCATTCAAGTATGCAGTGACAACATCCATATGATGTATATCTAGTCCAAGCTCAGCTGAAATTGCTGCTAAAATTCTAATTGATGACGATTTTACGACAGGAGAATAAGTTTCATGAAAATCCTCCCCTGGCCGTTGTGAGCAGCCTTTTGCGACAAGACGTACTTTCATCTGCCTTTGCTTATTATAATTTTTGGTACTGAATACAAATCGACTCCCAATTACTTTTCGATCATGAGGTCTAGGCACTATTTCCCATGTGTCATTTTTAATTTGAGCTAAAAATTCATTTTTCAAGGCTTTTCTCCATTCGTTTACATCATCTGTCTTTTCGGCTTCATTCCATGTCATTGGTTCTATTGTTGCAATCCCTGCAAATTGGATTTCTTCCGATTCCGTGTCCTCATAAATGTGGTCTCCCTCATCAAAAGGTGTTGTTGGTTTTGTTATAACACGAACTAATCTCGAACGTCTTTGATCTCCTTTAGAAGGTTTTATTAATCTTTCCCATGATACAGTGGCTTTTCTTTCTCTTGGTGATCTTGTAATCGTTCTACTTCTCTCATCATCTTCATTATTTGAATTTTCCAACGGTTTTGTCATTTGTTCTATATTTTCTACAGGTTCATTTAAATCTGATATTATTTTATCCTGTTCCACCCCTTGTTTTTTATTGAGTATGTCCTCATATTCATGTCTAAAAGCTGTTTTATTCAGGAATTTGACATTCCTACTCAAAATTATTTTCTTGTTTCTTGGGTTATGAATTCTATAAGCTTTTGATTGTGTATCGTATCCCATAAAAATGCCTACTTCTGAAACTGAATCAAATTTTCCCCTTTGTTTACCTTTCTCTTTATAATAAACTTTAGATCCGAACACTTGCATATATATAACTGTAGGTTTATTTCCTTTCCATATAGTAAATGGTATCTCCCCATTAATAGCTCTCGTTGGACATCTATTTCGTATATAGTTAGCGGTATTAACAGCTTCTGCCCAAAATGACGGCGGACATCCGACTTGGCGCATCATACATCGTGCCATTTCTATTAAAGTCCTATTCTTTCTTTCAGCAACGCCATTTTGTTGGGGTGTATGTGGTACTGATAATCTCCGTGTGATGCCATTTGTCTTCAGAAAATTATTAAATTCATTGTTTACATATTCACATCCATTATCTGATTGAAGACACTTTATTTTCTTTCCAGTAAAATTTTCAACTTCGGCTTTATAATTTTTGAATATATTAAATACATCACTTTTATTGCGAATAAAATAGACTTCACACCAGCGTGATTTATCGTCAATAAATGTAACAAAATATCTTTTTCCAGCAAATGATTGGTGTCTCATCGGACCACATACATCTGTATGTACAATTTCTAATAGTTCACTTGTACGATTGTTGATGCCCTTAGGAAAAGGTTTACAAGTTTGCTTCTCACTCATACAAATCTCACACTCTGACAATTTTTCGTTGTCCTTAATGTTTAATCCATGGACTAAATTTTTTTTTGTCATGATTTTTAGGTCACATTCATTAAGATGACCTAAACGCTCGTGCCATAAATCTATTGATTTTTTTACAGCTTCAACATTACTCACACTGCTTTGACATAATCGCACATGGTATAAGTTGCCAATTCGATCAGCTCGCATATGAATTTTATTTTCTTCGTCAATCACGATTGCGTCACTCTTCCTGAATCGTACCTCGAAACCGTGATCAGTTATTTTAGCCACCGACAGTAAATTTGTGCGTAAATCCGATACATAAAAAACTTTGTCGATGTCAACTCGGCGCTCTTCGCTGCCTGTGTCCACATTAATGCTCACCTTACCTTTTCCAGCAATTCGTGTGCTCTCATTATTGGCCAAATTTAATTCACTGTCTACATACGTAAATCCCTTTAATTTTTGCTTCTCATTGCACATATGTCCTGTGCACCCGCTGTCGATGCACCACACATGACTTTTATGTTCACCTGACATCACTTCTTCAGTGGTACTAAGCATTGTACTAATACTACCTGTGTGTTTCTGTTCACTAGTTTTTCGTTCTAACTGTTGCGCACTTTGTTTTGTTTTCTTTATGAACTTACTTCTACATTCCTTCGCATAATGCCCATAGCGACCGCAACGATAACATTCACTTTTATTTTTATTTTTAGTTACGTACGTTTCGCCTTTCTTATAAGTATGCACCTTGTTACGCTTCACAAACAATGCCCCTTGATCAGACTCCTTCGATTTTCTGCTTTCATAATCCTCAATAATTTTAACTTTTAATATTTCTGTAGATGGTAAATCATCCCGTGACTCCATAGCCGTACGAAACATTGTAAAGGATTCGGGTAAACTGTACAATAATAATATAGCAAGCAGTTCATCAATAACTACGAGACCAATTTCTTTTAATTTTTTGACAGCATCGAAAAAATCTGCTATGTGTTTACGCAAGTCATCTTCTTCTTGCATACGAGTCAGGACAAGTTTCTTTAATAAAGATGCTTCCCGTGCCGGTCCACTAGACTGGTACATTGATTTTAATTTGTCCCATATAGATTTAGAAGTATCTAATCCATTCAGTGCTATTAACTCGCTCGGGCTAACAGCTAACAAAATGTCCGACTCGGCTTTACCGTCCATTTTACACCACTCGGCAAACTTGGCGTCAGTTTTCGCAGGCTTCGGTATCGCGCCCGACACATAATCCCACAGGTCATTTTTCTTCAAAATAGCCCGCATATGGATCTTCCATGTATCATAATTATCGCCAGTAAGTTGGTCGATTTTAACCGAAGCAGCCATAATAAAGTTAATTAATCTTCTTCAATAATGCAAATAAAATAACGATAGGTTATATACATACATTCGGTACGTAAGTATATAATACGATCTTCTCGTAAACGTCGTAACTATCTATTCACTTATGACGCCAAACTGTTATATGTATGCACCAATTACGCTTCTTTGTTTAAGACGCATATTCTTTAATATTATTATAAGTTCAACACAGTTTATATGTCACTTTTTGTCTTTTTAACACTATTTCCTGGGCCCATAACCTATTGGGTCAGTGAATCGAAACCAAAAATTGTTAGAACTATGAAAAAAAACTTTATTACTTATAAACACAGGTTATTAGATGATTTACGTATGAACATTTTATTTTACAATGGCGGACAAATTGCAAACTTAACAACGCTGACAGTTGCCGTACTTCACGATGGTATAGTAACGTACCTAGTTATACATGTATACACATATTTTTAAACGATCTCTTATACTACTTATATTGGCTCACGATCTTCGCGATTATTTCATCACTACAACATTTACTTATATGGTTTATTTTTATTTTAAATACCTATATCTTTTACATCTGTGTGCCTAGTGCGAGATTTTTTACGCGTTCGATACCGAGAAAGTTAACTACAATTTGTACGAGACCAATTTCTTTTAATTTTTTGACAGCATCGAAAAAATCTGCTATGTGTTTACGCAAGTCATCTTCTTCTTGCATACGAGTCAGGACAAGTTTCTTTAATAAAGATGCTTCCCGTGCCGGTCCACTAGACTGGTACATTGATTTTAATTTGTCCCATATAGATTTAGAAGTATCTAATCCATTCAGTGCTATTAACTCGCTCGGGCTAACAGCTAACAAAATGTCCGACTCGGCTTTACCGTCCATTTTACACCACTCGGCAAACTTGGCGTCAGTTTTCGCAGGCTTCGGTATCGCGCCCGACACATAATCCCACAGGTCATTTTTCTTCAAAATAGCCCGCATATGGATCTTCCATGTATCATAATTATCGCCAGTAAGTTGGTCGATTTTAACCGAAGCAGCCATAATAAAGTTAATTAATCTTCTTCAATAATGCAAATAAAATAACGATAGGTTATATACATACATTCGGTACGTAAGTATATAATACGATCTTCTCGTAAACGTCGTAACTATCTATTCACTTATGACGCCAAACTGTTATATGTATGCACCAATTACGCTTCTTTGTTTAAGACGCATATTCTTTAATATTATTATAAGTTCAACACAGTTTATATGTCACTTTTTGTCTTTTTAACACTATTTCCTGGGCCCATAACCTATTGGGTCAGTGAATCGAAACCAAAAATTGTTAGAACTATGAAAAAAAACTTTATTACTTATAAACACAGGTTATTAGATGATTTACGTATGAACATTTTATTTTACAATGGCGGACAAATTGCAAACTTAACAACGCTGACAGTTGCCGTACTTCACGATGGTATAGTAACGTACCTAGTTATACATGTATACACATATTTTTAAACGATCTCTTATACTACTTATATTGGCTCACGATCTTCGCGATTATTTCATCACTACAACATTTACTTATATGGTTTATTTTTATTTTAAATACCTATATCTTTTACATCTGTGTGCCTAGTGCGAGATTTTTTACGCGTTCGATACCGAGAAAGTTAACTACAATTTGTATGGAATAAAATCAGCGCCAACTAGTGGCAATAATCGGAATCACAATTCATGAGTGCGAGTTTATTACGTCGTCGATATCGACCATCGAGCATTCACTCGCATTCGACAGTGAGAACGTAAACGCACGTGATTGGTTGTTTCAAGTATTTTGCGAGTGCGAGCGCCGATTTTGATCGTTCAATACGTAACATAAACAAACTTTACGCCGTCGATATCGAAAAAGTTTTCACCTAAATTTTGACAGTGAGAATGCATAGTGAGAACGATTGTTGAAGGTTTAATTTTATTTCGTTTTGTGTGAACAATATTTAATTATGGCAGGACGTTTTTTTTCGCATGGAGGATGTTTGCAGCCGCTAAGGCACAAGATGACCGCAATTATAACACCAATGTTGAAAGAAGAGCTCGTGCATCTTTCAACCCTTTGTTACACCCCACGGGGAGGAAATTTAAAGATAGATATCGCATTTCCAAGAAAGTCTTCAAGTTTTTGTGTAAAGAGCTAAGGAGTTTGACAAATCTTAGGTCCTCTCAACGCGTTTCCTTGGAACATAAAGTATGTATCGATCATTAAAGTATTCACATTTATGCAACTCAAGTTTAAAACAAGAGCAAGTTTGTTCTCTTTTTAATTGCAGGTGCTCACTGCTCTATTCTTTTTTGCAACTGGATCCTACCAAAGGCCACTTGGGGTTGCAAAGCACACGTCTCAAAAAAAGAGCAGTATGTACATAGAAGAAGTTACGGTACGACTTTCCATTGACGTCAGTCGAGATTGGTGTTGATAGGTATTTTTACATTTTAATAAGCACACACACAAAGTTTCAATATGCGGAAACACGTACTTATTGAGAAAAAAATATTGTAAACCAAATAATTTTGCAATATTTAGTCAATTCCTACCGTGAAACTGACGCCATTTTTATTATTATTGTCAGTAGGGATATCGATTCTTTCCGAAAAAGATCGATTTTTTAAATAGATTCGAATTGTAAGCTGATGTATCGATTCCCAAAAATCGATTTCTAAAATATCGATATTTTTTTCATGTTTGCATTTATAATGTAAATATAAATCCATTTTATGAGAAAAAAATCCTCTTCATCATAAAAAAATAAGGGGACTGATTCAGAAGGATTTCTGTATCTATTTTGAGACTGCTACTTCTCCGGCGCTATAAAACCACTCTAGGGGTACGACAGACTCGTACCAGGTGGAGTCGGGGTCAATCAATTCGGTTCTTTGACATAAGTTGAACCTAACCTATTTTATTTGTTATCTGCCCTAATAGGTACTGTTAAATAAAACAAATTTCAAAAAGAGATCATTTATCATGGTATCTTTCTTGTTTTTCGACATCGACATCCCTACTGACAATAATAATAAAAATGGCGTCAGTTTCACGGTAGGAATTGACTAAATATTGCAAAATTATTTGATTTACAATATTTTTTTCTCAATAAGTACGTGTTTCCGCATATTGAAACTTTGTGTGTGTGCTTATTAAAATGTAAAAATACCTATCAACACCAATCTCGACTGACGTCAATGGAAAGTCGTACCGTAACTTCTTCTATGTACATACTGCTCTTTTTTTGAGACGTGTGCTTTGCAACCCCAAGTGGCCTTTGGTAGGATCCAGTTGCAAAAAAGAATAGAGCAGTGAGCACCTGCAATTAAAAAGAGAACAAACTTGCACTTGTTTTAAACTTGAGTTGCATAAATGTGAATACTTTAATGATCGATACATACTTTATGTTCCAAGGAAACGCGTTGAGAGGACCTAAGATTTTTAAGAACTCTCGCCAGTTGTTCGGTGCCTTTATTGCGAGAGTTATTACATAGTTACAATACTATTTATTAAAAATAAAAGCTATATTTCTCAATATTAATGCTACGGCGTTTCCCGCGTTGCTGTGGGCAACCACAGCTAGTTGTGGAACCGTGAGCGCGGCCTGACGATCATAACATCCTCCTGGCTCCGCCCACCGCCCCTAGGTTGTTCAACTAGCGATGGTTACGACAAGCAATCAGTAAGTTATTTCGTTCGACGTATTACTTGTTTGCGTCGTGCACATTCTCCCGCCGTCGCCACGCTGCGATCCCTCTGGTAGCACGACGATCTTCTTTGTCGGTCTTCGTAGTACATGCCCCGTGCTTGTGGTTACGTCCACTACTCGTACCTCTCCGTCGACGCCAGGATATACGTTGCTGATTTTTCCCCTGGGCCAGATGTTGCGTGGTAGATTGGAGTCACAAATGATGACTAGGTCTCCAATCTTCGGTGATACGCCTATGCTGCTGGGCTCCCGCCGGTGTTGGAGTAGGGGCAGGTATTCCTTTACCCACCTTCTCCAAAACACGTCAGCCAGGGCTTGAGCACGTTTCCACTGCTGGCGGGCCGTCACATCGCACTCGCTGAAGTGTCCCGGCGCAGGTACGTGCGAGTTGGGACCGATGATGATGTGATTCGGCGTGATGGCTTCTGGGTCTCCTGGGTCGACTGAGACGTGTGTGAGAGGTCTTGAGTTGACCGTGTTCTCGACCTCGGCGAGCAGGGTCACCAATGTCTCGTCACTGGGATAGCGCTCGTTGAGGGTGACGCGTAGAGCTTCTTTCACGGAGCGAACCATTCGCTCCCATGCGCCGCCCATGAACGGTGCTGATGGTGGTATGTACTTCCACACAATTTGTCGACATGTGGTTTCGTGCTCGAGGGATGCGAGTGCTGCTTCGGCCAGCTCCTTGTCTGCTGCCTTGAAGCACGTAGCGTTATCACTCCATATTTCCTTTGGGCATCCTCTTCTGCTCATAAAACGCCTGAGCGCCGAGACGGCTGAGTCGGCGCTTAAAGAGTGGGCTACCTCTATGTGTATTGCTCGTGATGTCATGCAGGTGAATAACGCGCCATAGCGCTTTTCACGATGTCGTCCCACTGTGACCTCTATTGGCCCGAAGTAGTCCAGTCCGGTGTATGTGAACGGACGTGCGTGATGAGCGAGGCGTGCGGACGGCAGGTTTCCTGTAGCTGGTGATGCAGGCTTGGCTTTTCGTAGACGGCACGGTAGGCAGCTTTTGACGACAGTTTTCACCACTGGACGTATTTTTCTTATGTACAGTCTCTGTCTTAATTCGTTCACGACTGTTTCCACGCCTCCGTGATGCAACCTCTCGTGTACGTGTGTTATGTACAGACGAGTGTATGCGTGCTTCCCGTCTAGTATGGGAGGGTCGTACGTGTCCTCTTCCACTTCTGATGCTGCTTTTATTCGACCTCTGAGGCGTAGGGTCCCCTCTTCATCGACGTATGTGCTCAGGTGGCCTAATTTGTCGTCACCTCCCGGAACACTTCCGTTGGCGATCCTCTTGAGCTCCTTCGTGAAGCTTTCCCGCTGACTGGCTTGCACCCACAGTTGTTCGGCTCTTACGTGATAAGCGGCCGGTATTCCTACAAGCGATGAGACAGTAGGAGTTGCCTTTTTCTCCTTGGCGGGGATGTTGCGTTTGTTTGTTCTTCGCCAGCCAGGGTCGCTATCTTGTCTTGCTCTGTTGCGTTTACGCCCAGCCTTCACCACGTGCTTGTTTGGTCTGCACATGTCGATGAATAGGAGGACTCTCGCTGTCGCCCTTATGAGGCGAATCCACTTTGAAAATCTTTCTATTTGTGGCAGATGTGTTGTTGGCGAGTCTACCCTTTTAACTGCGATGTTACATACTTCTCGTTCTTCCCCGGTGTCGTATTGTGTCGTTTTCTCTTCCTGCGGCTATTCTGCTGGTGGACGTTGCAGAAACGGGGGCCCTCGGAACCACCGGTGCGACTCGTCGAATCTTTCTGGCGTGGATCGGGTCGCGTCTTCTGCCACATTTTCTTTAGACGGTAGCCAACGCCATTCGTTCTTCTTGGTCGTATCTTCTATCTCCGCCAGGCGATGAGCGACGAAAGCTTTGTACGCGCGAGGCTCCGACCTTATCCACACCAGTGCAGTACGAGAGTCGCACCAGTATGTCTTGCCCGCTATATCACCATCGTGCTCATCGACCACGGTCTGCGCGAGACGAGCTCCCAGCAGTGCCGCTTGTAACTCGAGCCGTGGTATGGAGACTGGTTTCAGTGGTGTTACGCGGCTCTTGGCGGCAGCCAATGATACGTTAACGCTGCCGTCTGCTCGCTCCGTTCTCCAATACACGGTTGCTGCGTAGGCCTCCTCGCTTGCGTCGACGAATGTGTGTAGTTGACGCGTCGACACCGGGTTGTAATCGTAGCATCGCGGTATTCTCAGTTGTTCTATGGCGTTAAGTGAAGTAATCCAGTCTTCCCATTTTTCTTTTAATTCTGTGGGCAGAGGGTCGTCCCAGTCCGCCTTGTAACGCCATGTGTCTTGGAATATTCTCTTCGCTGGGGTGGTCACTGGTGATATTAATCCCAGCGGATCAAATAATGCCATTATGATGCTCAACGCTTCACGTTTAGTTGGCAAGCGTTGTTTTTCTTTTACGTCGGCAGGCATCTTCATATTGTGAGTATTAAATCCAATATGATCGCTTTGTACATGCCAGAGCAGGCCGAGCGTCTTCTCAGTTTCTTTTCCGCCCAGGCTCACGGTCGCGTCGTGTTGTTTATGTTCTGTCGTTATTTCTTCTATTGTTTTCTCTTCGTTCGATGTCCACCCGCTGAGTACGAATCTCGCTTGTTTGTGGACGTGATCGACTGCTTTTACCGTTTGCTGAGCTTCCGTGACAGAGTGAAAGCTCTGCAAGTAGTCGTCCATATAGTGATTTCTTTTTATGGCGACCGCAGCTTCTGGGTATGCCTCTGCATGTTCTTCAGCATTTTTATTTTTGATGTATAATGCTGTGCATGGTGATGATGTCGCTCCAAAGATGATTGACGTCATCCTATATTCTTCCGGTTGGTCCTCCCGCCGCTTGCCTCTCCACAAGAAACGTAAAACGTCTCTATCTTCTTTGCGCACTTTGATCTGCATGAACATTTCTTTTATGTCGGCGCTCACTGCATACGGATACTGTCGGAATCTCATGATTACTCCGGGCAATGATTGTAACAAGTCGGGCCCCGAGTGAAGCATATCGTTGAGACATATTCCGGCTGTCTTCGCTGCGGCGTCGTGCACCAATCTCAGCGGCTTGTCTGGTTTCGCAGGGTTGATGACTGGGAAGTGTGGCAGATACCATGTCCTTCCTTGTGGCGGTGGTATGGGCGCGCGCTCTGCGTAACCCGAGTTGAAAAGGTTCTGTATGCGTTCTTCGTACTGTAGCTTGAGACTGCTGTCTCGGTCGAGCCTCTTCTCTAAGGTGTGCAGGCGCCTTTCCACGTCCTTGTAATTATTTGGTATTTGGAAATCCTTTTGTTTCCACAACAACGCTGTTTCGAATCTGCCGTCCGCCGACCTCTGGCTGGTTTCCCTCAATATTTGCATAGCTCGCTGCTCGGGATCTTCTTTCGGTCTTCTTGGCTAGACGCACAGCGATTCTAATTTGAAATAATTTTTTATTTCCTCTTCTATCGGCTGTGTATCTTCCCTCTGATGTAGTCTGCCGCAGAAGGTGACCGTCGACGTCAATGAGCTATGACAGCCATGCAGAACCCAGCCCAGGTTTGATGGTACGATAAACGAATCTTTTGGTTATATTCAAATTTTTCAGTATGTCAAAAATTTGAATTGGCGCGTAACCGCAACGATGCAACGCAATAACTGCAACACGGTCTTCTTTAAGCGTCCACTCCACAGAACACTAATACCCTTAGGCGGGAAGAATGTCAACTTCAAACAAAGAAAATGGCACCCATAATGCACGCCATCTCTGTCGTGCCCCCTAAAACTTTTTTGCGCGGGAATTTTGACACGTGATTTTTTTTTTAGTTGGCGTCTTGGTTGTTTCGTTTCAAAAATGGCTTAAGAATGTAAAATACCGTGTAGATAGATACAGCTTGTAGTTTTTCGTTTCAATGATATATATATTGGTAAATTAAAACGAAAACAAAAGCACAAAGTTATTTGTAAATTATGGTATTTTACATTCAAAAACCACTTTTGAAACGATTAGCAATCATTTTAATATAAAAAAGGAACTATTTTTCAATTAAAAGTGGTTTTTGAAATACATAATTTTTATTTACATTACATACTTGTCTACATTGGTACATAGAAAAACCGTTGGTACATTGATGGACGTAAGTGACGGAGTAATTAACTAATTTTTAACTTTATGTATGTAAACAGTTCTCAACAGCTCTTAACTAAATATCGATTTAATAGTTAAGTAGTTATGTAAAGCAGAATAGTCTATTTTTAAGAGGTAGGCGTGTTTTAGCGAAGTATAAGAAATAAGCATTCTCGTAACTTCGCTAAAACACGAATCAACGATTATTAGTTTATAGATAATTACTTCATCACTTCACCTATTAAGTAACCGGCATATGTAACATGACATTTAAGCAAAATGGAAAGTAAAGGTACATTGGTTTTATATAAAAAAGATTAGACAATCTAATATAAACACTTTTTTCTAACAAGAAAACATTATTTACCTTCACATTCTACAAACAAGGCAATAGCTTTGCAATATTATGTCTAAACTCCAATAACCTGATTATATTATAGATGCCACCTGTTCGCGCCAAACGCTGTTGTCGGAATCGACGTCTAGGGGGCGCGCGGTTCTGGGCCATACCGGTTTTTGACGTCGGTCGAGCGGTGGGCTGAGAACGCGTAAAGGTAGTAGTCGTCTGCTAGCTGTGCTAATGTCTGCACGCTGTCAATTTTTGTTAGGGAACTCGGAATAATTAGGCGCGGCCCGTAAATATACGGTCTAGGATTTTGTGACGCGCATTCCTGCTGGAGAGCTTCCCAGGGACTCATGGTGTCTGACTCAGAATCTGCATAAGTGCATTCGGCAATATTAGCTAGTGCGGCCTGATATTCTAGAACTAACTGTTGCTACGCGAAACGGTAGTGACCTTTGATCCGGAAATTCCGTGTGCGTTTTGTGAGTTAACCTTATACTCAGCGATAGTTAGTGGCTTCTGTAAGTTAGTTAATCGTAAGATAGAGTGAATTGACTGTCATCGTGACGAACGAGGAAAGTGACTGTGGACAACGCCTCGGAAGGCCCCCTCAAGTTGGAGTGGTGTCGACGCTCGGGCTGCTGCCGACGGCCAAGGTCTAGGTTCAATCGCCATCAGTCACACCCAGATACACATCACATCACCTTATTTCCCTTGCACTACACAAACACATGGGACCAGACTGACTCCGGAGGGACCAATCGCCTTGGATATAGGTAAGTAAGCTCCGTCTAGATTCCTCCCGGTCGACTGGCCGTAGTATAGAACGCTCCCCCATATATTTTAGTGTAATTAGAGAGATTCCACGTGGCCACATTGAGGCCCGACCTACGTTTGCTCGTCGAAACTCAGCTGATGGGCCCCTGAGGATTTGACTTTTAAGGAAGCAGCCGCCTGCCAGGGAGTGGGGGTGCTGCTGTCTTCTCGGTTGGTCGATGTTATGACTGAATATAAGGTTGTGAACTCAAGACTTCTCTGGGTTCGCTTTAAATTTGGACTGACGAAGTTATTCCTTTTGGCTGTTTATGCGCCGGTAGCTTAGTCGTCCAGGGCTGAGCTGGAGGAGTTTTGGGAGAATGTAAGAGAAGTTCTAGATTTGGCTAGGGGAAACGAAAGAATTGTTGTATGTGGTGATTTGAATGGATGGGTTGGTACCGCTCGACCAGGGTACGAGTCGGTACTTGGAAAGTTTGGCGATAAAAGGGTTAATGATGCTGGCAAGCTTATACTGGCGGTGTGCAAGGAAAAGGGTCTTCTTGTGACAAACACTATGTTTAATCACAAGAAAATCCATATGTATACTAGAGAACGAAAGAATGAGAGAAGTATGATCGATTTGTTCCTGGTGGATGACCGACTGCGAAAACAGGTGATGGATACGCGAGTGTTCAGGGGTGCTGACCTGGGAACGGATCACTATCTAGTGATTACTAGATTTAGGGGTCTGTTCGCGGGTTGGCGCTACCGGACGGCAGTAACAGAACCACAGTCGGTCTGTCGCATCCGAAGCTGGAAGCTTCAGGAAACGGATACTAGGGACAAATATCATGCGAGGGTAGCCGAAAAGCTTGACACCATCGATGGCAGAAAATAATGGGTAGAAAGAACATGGCAGAACCTTAGGGATGGAATGGTAAGTGCAGCGGAAGAAGTGTGTGGAACAATAAAAAGAGGCAGTAGTAAAAGAAGAGATGCATGGTGGAATGATGAAGTGAAAGAAGCTGTAAAGAAGAAGAAGAAAGCATGGTTAGACTACTTGGCCTCTAGTAATGATAAGGATATGAGAGAGAAGATGAAAGAAAGATATAGGCTGCAGAAAGTTCACACGAAAGCACTGATTGAGGAAGTGCGTGAAAGGTGTAGAATGGAAGCGGACGAAAGGTTGTTGCACAACTTTAAGGAGAACTCCAAACTCTTCTGGAAAGAGGTTGGAAGGGCCCGAAGTGGTGCGACGGCCTTAAGAATGAACAAAGTGCTTTCGAGAACTAATGACGTCCTCTCAGAAAAATCGGACGTCATGCAGCGATGGAGCGACAAGTCCTTGGAATGTTTGCTTACACGCGCTCGGGGCCCCTGTAACCCGGGGGCCCCGTATCATTGATACGGCTGATACGGCGGTAGCTACGCCCCTGTTCAGCTTCATCCCTAACATACTCCTTAATGACCGCATTTCTACAGCATTTATTCTACTCTCATGCTTCTTCTGCCACACCCAACTTTCACTACCATACATTAAAGTAGGTACTAACACAGCATTGTGAATTGCCATACGTGCCTTTTTGGACACATTCTGACTTTTCACAATAGAGTGTAGAGCCCCATTCACTCTATTTCCTGCGTTCACTCGTCGTTCTATGTCCTTATCATATCTACCATCCCTGCTAAACACACATCCCAAATATACAAACTCATCTACTTGCTCTACCAACTCCCCTTCTATTCTTATTTCACATATCGTTTTACTTTCTTCTCTTTCAAAAACCATAACTTTCGTCTTACTTCGGTTCACTTTCATTCCCTTTTCTTTTAATGTCCTGTTCATTAATGTAACCATTATTTGCAACTCGGCTGCCGACGACGCAAGTATGACTTGATCATCGGCGTACAAAAGGCATTTGACGGTTAACTCACCCATTCTTAACCCGCATTCTTCTACTTTAAAATTTTCCAAACAACTGTCCATAAATAGGTTGAACAACCACGGGGAAGCCACACAGCCCTGTCTGACACCTTTATGGATGTCAAACCAGTCCGAGTAGGCCCCGTTGATCCTGACACAAGCACTAGAGTCCCTATATAGAGACTTCAATGCCTGTATCAGACCAGCGGTCAACCCAAATGAGTTCAGTGTTTGCCATAACACATCCCTGTCCACTCTGTCATAAGCCTTCTCCAAGTCCATGAACGCACAAAAAACTTTTTGGTTTTTGGCCAAAAACTTTTCCGCGATCATGCGCGTGGAAAAGACCTGATCCGTACATCCCATTCCCTTTCTAAATCCCGCTTGCACATCCCAAATTTTTCCATCAGTTTCTTTCATAACTCTTTCAATTAGTACCTTAGCATACAGTTTCCCCACAATGCTAAGAAGGCTGATACCACGGTAGTTTCTACAGTCCTGCTGTGATCCTTTTCCCTTATATATTGGGACTATCACGGCTTTGCACCAGTCTCCCGGTACCCGCTTAAGTTCCCAACATAAATTAAACAAGGTGTACAGCAGGTCTGCCACCACTCCTTCTCCAGCCCTTAGCATTTCGAGAGATACTCTATCATAACCGGCTGCCTTACCTGCTTTCATACTTTTCATTGCTTTCATTATTTCATCTATACTTATATCTCTATCTATTTCCTCTTCTTTCGGAATTTCTATTTCATTTAATTCAATCGTCTCATCACTCATAAACACGCTTTCAAAGTATTCCTTCCATCTCCTTAAACTCAAAACTTCGTCATTCAGAATACAGCCATTCTGGTCTCGTATAGCATTCATTCTAGGCTGTTGTGAATGTCCCCTGGTAGTTCTTACGAGTTTCCAGAACATTTTAACATATGGACATATGTTTAAATATTATACTTTAAATTATAAATTTAATTTACCTTGTGAAATTTTAGCATACATTCCTGCAGCAACTGAGTGGCTTAACACTTGCTTCACCTTCATCTTCTGCTTCGTATTTGGATTTAAATGCTCTTGTTTTAAGCAAGGTGCAAACACAAAATTGGGATTGGTGTTATCTGTTTCATAAAACTCCTTTATATGGCTCCATTTAGCAACACCTGTAAAAAAAAATGTGTAAATATCCAGTAAATTGGAAATATGTATAATATTATGATTGTAATAAAACAAAATATCTTACCAAATCCAATTTGATCGTTTGATGTTATATTTGTTGGACATTTAATGTCATATTTTAAAAACATATTTCTAAACCATTTGAGCAAATGCGGTGTATCAAAAATGGTAACCACTTCTCGATTACTTAGCAGAATATATGGCTGTTCTACAGATGCTCCCAAGATACTTAAAGCTCTCTTATTCACACCATCCATATCACACACTGTAGCTGAAATATTAATTCCAGCATCAAAACAATGTTGCAGGATCTAGAATGATAAAAGGGTAAATTAATATGGTAAAAAAGTACTACTACATATATTGACATAATAACAAATAAAAGACCATAATGCTCACCTCCTTTATAAGAACTGACAGCCTATCTGCAGTCACAGATCCACTAGAAAAATAATAAGCAATTGGTTGTTTCATAGTTGTTACGAGTATGATACGGCACGCGAACAGCGTCACGCATCGGCAATTGGTTCATACCTTGTCGTGGGTAGTACTTATGGGAGTTAGGTAATCCGTGAAATTGTGTACTTGAAATATATTACTTAATGCCTACCGTTATGTTAATTTAACTTAACAAAAATAAAAACATACAATTTTACCCTATAGTTTAAATGTAATGATTATATACTCTTTGGCAAGCTAGCTATAGTCACGAAACGTTTTACTTTTGCCTTTGCATGCGCAAAAAACGTTTATATTTTCTTATTTTCATTCAATATGTCATCATCATTTTGGTTGTATATTTGAATGACGTTGTAAGGACGAGGGAAATGAAACACTTGAGTGTTGACGTAAGACTGTCTGTAATTACGTTATTGTTAAGTTTATATATTATATTATACCCAAACATACGTATAGATACTATGTAGATACTACACCTTCCTTCCCAAAGAAAAAAAAGAAATGAATACGTGCATTTCTTTTTTTTTTTTTATATAATACTAACATTTAAAATTACACAATAATTATATCCCTAAGTATTCTATTTTATAAAATGTAAACATGGGTAAAGCATAGTTAAAATAATATTTAGATTAAAATGATTACAATTGGTATTATAGTACTTAGTAATTAATATTAAGGTAAAGTAATATTAATTAATAAAGCTTAATACACTAATTTATTATAATTATAATCGATTAAGTAAACAATGTCTGAAATATATTACTTAATTACTATAATATTATTGTAATATTATATATGTAATATTATAATAAATTTATTACATTTATTTTAAGGATAATGCAATTTAGTTCGGTTTTTATTTATTTATTTATTAGGTTTACCAGTAATTGTAATAATAATACATCAATGAGTATTTAACAATAACATGTGTTTTACAGCCAAATGCACAATTAATTTAGGTAAACACCACATGCACAAACTATTAAAGATAGTATCATCCAATTTTTATTAGTGACTTAATGTGTTCACAATAAATGTGAAAAGAATATTGTAATTTTTGCCATCTTTTAGTATTTCAACATTCGGTGAACAATCTCTAATCTATCTATACATATAATAAAACTGTAAATAGCAGATGTCTGTACATTTTATATTTTTGTAATAAAAGTGATTGAGGGGTACTAAAAATAAGTAATTAAATACATTTCTACCATTTTTAGAATTTTCTGTCTGTCTGTCTGTCTGTCTGTCTGTTTGTTTGTTAACGTATCACGTTTAAAGTACTAATTTATATAATAAGAATTGTTAAGGAAATTATAAAGTGTATCTTCGGGTTACATTTAGTCTTTATTTCATTAAAATCGGTTCATTCCATCAAAAGTTATGGTAAATATTCTGAAGTATGGGTAGGGAATTTGCTCAACGGTGGCTTTGTTTGAGTCATCAAGTTGATGTTAGCAGCGCCATCTCTCTTCAATTAAATATATACATATAATAAAAATGATGATAACATGTTGTGTCTCTTTCTGTACATTGTATATTTATTTTGGTGACTAAAATCATTATGGGGAACTAAAAATAATTAAATAAGTACATTTTTATAATTTTTAGAACTGTCTGTCTGTCTGTTTGTCTGTTTTTATATGAATGCATCACGTCTAAAGTAAACATCTTTTTTTTTCAAAGAAATCGTTAAGAAAATCATAAAGCGTATCTTCAAGTTACATTTAATCTTTGTTTTATTAAAATTGGTTAATTCTATCGAAAGTAATGATTATTATTTTAAAATGTAGGTTCGAATTTGTTCAATGGCGCCATAAAAATCACAAAAATAATAATAAAAAGATTTGTGTGTAAAAAAAAACGTTCCATAATAATTAATATATTTATACTTAAAACATAAAAAGAGATTTAAAAAAGGATGTTTTCTCACACAAAGGACGTAATAGATGGAGTTATACAAATTACAAACTTTTCTGATTTGCTGTGTTGAGATTTTTCGCCGATGAATCGTATTGAGACTTACTGAAGAAATTAGTATCTATCGAAGCCATACAACGGAACCCGAACAAAAATAACAAAATTGCAACGAAATGTCGTGATATTGTATTTATAATATACGCAAAATCAGTACTGCCATTTTAGCGCTTTGGGAACTAGATTTAGCGCTTTTTTGGAATGTATAGCGCGCATTTCGAAATTTTAGCACCTAGCACTTAATCCAGCGCTTTTTGGTGTATTTAGCACAAATTTCAAAATTGTAGCGACTAGCGGGTTATTAACTCTTTTATAGCAGCACTGTTAGTCCACATTACCGATAATAATAATAATGAACTTTATTATTTTTTTCCACAAATAGTACATTGCAGTTTATCTTTTTCAAACATATTTTTTCCACAAAACAAAGAGCATGGGAGACGAGTCCAAACTAGGATACCCTGTGCTATGGATCTCCCGGCTTCCCCTTTAGGATGATCAACTTGATTTTTTTTATCGACGACTATAAGCGGGGGAATCCCCTTCATTAAAGTTTTCGTTCATGGTTTTGGCAACGCATTTAATTTGCTTTATTCAGTTTTAGTCAGTTGTTTAGAGCACAGCTAAGTTAAAAGTTACTTAGAGTAGTACTAACTACTGTTGACAGCAATTGCCATAATTATAAGTCGATGTCCTGCGAAGTATTGATACATCAAAAAATATTGCCAGAAAAAAACTTAATGTTGTTTTCTTTATTATGATTATTATGATTTCTTTAGTATTTTCTTGAATTATAAATTATAATAAAAAACACAAACTTTGTTTGTAGTTAATTTAGCGCAAAATCTAGGGCTTTTATAAAGCGCTGTTTTCATGAAATCTAGCGCTTTTTGTGTTGTCCTAGCGCTGAATGAGTTTTTTTGATCTGGCAGCACTGCCAAAAATCCCTCTATTAAGAAGTAACTTTCCCTTCAGTTTTAAGCGTGTTCAGTTCCCAGTTACAGTCAGCGTGTGTTATGCGATGACCGTAAATAAAGTGCAAGGTCAAAATTTACGCGTTGTAAGAGTGGACCTCAGTACTGACTGTTTTGCACATGGCCAACTCTATGTTGCTTTTTCCCGCGTTAGTAGCCCCCGTAACCTTTTTGTGTACACCCCGGCTAAGCCTACTTCTAACGTCGTTTACACCGAAGCTCTATCATAAACTACTTAGAACTTTGATGATAATGATTTATTTGTTACCACTTATTGATACAGTAATGATATAAATCGTTTAATATTCTCTTACCTAAACGACAAATTCTTTATGTAAAATATATATACGCGAGCTACGCCGCGGGCACAGCTAGTTACTAAATATGGACCTGCACAAATGGCGCTGAGTTTGTTACCAGTTTCTTCTTTAGTTTAGCGTTCATTTTACAATCATACTTGGATTTCCTAACAAATTTACTATTGATTAAATTTTCTCTTGCTTCCTTTTGGGAGGTTTGTAGGCGATATTTGAACTCTAACGGATAATCTTCGTAATTATATAGGGGTTCTACGGTTTTAGTTAAATTACTGGGTAAATTACATTTTTTGCTATAAACTAACTCGAATGGGGTATACTTAGTTTTGCGGTGAACGGAAGTATTATATGAAAAATACCGAAAAAAAATATATAAAAATAACATAATTTTTTTATATAGTAAAAGCCAATGTTTAATAAAGTCTAATATTATAATTATGTATATATAATAATTGTCTTGGCTTGGGTAGGGTGGCTGGCCAAACCCCCTATGTACGAGTACATAATAATTCCGTAGTCACATTATGTATGTTTAAGGCTTAATGCATTGTTGCATTGTTGATGCATTATGTTTGACAAAATCAGGTGTACATTCGCGAACGTATATTATTTTGGTCGACACATCTAACACACTTTGATACTGAGTTATTCAGTTACTTATTAAGTCATTTATGTAGACATTCACATTAAATAGTACCCTTCCTTTATATATTTATTCACATTTATACTTATAATTTTATAGTTATATATTTCATTTATTTATACCTTTATATTTAATGAAACATTTCTTTCATGATCCATACAAATTATTTAAATATTAATACTTTACTTTTTTTTTTCAAAAAATAACGCCTTATAAAGATACAAACATATGATTTGAAGGTTCAATAAATATAAAACCGACAATATTACATTTCATTTTAAGATACACATAACAAAGAAGTCTATGTTAAGCAATGTAATCATTTTCATTATCAAACAACTACCAGATCAAAATACAAATTGCAATCCCAGTCGCGTCAGCGATTTGTGACACTTTTGTTTTCAATTCCAAAGTACGTTTATGGGAAAGTTTGCGATAACATCGTATGATGATACCTAATTTCAACATAACTTACAAAATGTTTTATTATAAATACATTTAAAAATATCTAAAATTTCTAGTATTAAACACGTTTTCATTTACATAGTTAAGATTACATTGCATTGTTATAATACTTTTACATTATCAAGTAATATGTGTTATTTTTATCATTAATAGTCGGAAACGTATTACATATTACTTTTTTTTAAGATTTCATGACTTCTAAGGAACATGTTTATCTTATTTGAAACACAAATTTGTAAAAAAGATAGGCTATTACACATATATAAGTCTGTATTAGAAAATATATGTGATATTTATCTCGCGGGTACTTTATAAATATGGGCCCCCCATTTAATTGGGTATTATATTACTTTTTCATAACATTCATTTCATTTTATTGGTACATAAACTTTTTTTTTATCATACTATATCAAGGTAAAACTGTACCTTGGGTTGTGCGCACAACCTTGAGGTCTACGTTTAAGTCATTTTAAAAGGACTCCAACAATTGTCACGGAGGAAAACTTCACACTATGATCCAATGAAGGATGTGACCTCTATATACCATTATCA